CTGCTGAATTGGGTTGGGCCAGTTCAACCACGCCCTATGTCAGTCTATCGGGATTGGGGGAGCTTTGACTTGATCCTGTTCGCCTGATGAGGAGCCCAAGAGATCGAGGGTTTCATATACGTAGCTTATGCTCGTGCTCTCTTTCTCCATCTTTAGAACACGATGGCCACGCACAAGCTACACAATAAAACTTGAAGGCGGGAGTCACTACGGGTGGAGTTCGAACGAAGGAGAGGTTCTATCGAGACAGGCTGAGTCGAAGAGGAAGACGAAGTAGAACAAAGACGACGCAGGCGAAGAAATAATGGGACGACGAGTAGACGAGCGAGAACCAAGGAAAAGAAATAGTTTCTCCTTTCCCGCAAGAAGGCCGGTGGGAATGAAGCCTTGACGGTCCTCCAATAATTACCGGTGGTTAAGGCAAAATTTTGGCTCTGATACCATGTCAAAGTTTCGAGAAAAAAATAAGTTGAATCCTTAATAGGCTTGATGCTTTTTCCCTTTGCTTTTATCCATTAAATAATAATCTTACAATTTATTTTAAGTACAAAATAAAGTGCATAATCTATTTTAGGTAACTTAATAATACATATTCCTAATCTAAATATTTAGCTAAAAGGGAAATAAATCACATTGAAGACATTGGAAATAATTTAAATAAATAGCTTCTAATCATAGAAAACTCCTAATTTGGTTGTCTGATTTCCGTCCTTCCTGATTGACATGGATAAACATAACTTTATTGATAGAAAATGACAAAGTAATTGAACCTACACTTATCTGCTTTAAGTGGCCAGAAAATGTAGACAAAGACTGGATCAAAGACTGCTCGTCTCCAATATCAGCATAAACTGCATCAAACCAGGGCATTTTAACTGGCTCTGATGCAAGAACATAGAGACCTGCAGATTTACATATAAATTTATGTGATCCCCACAATCCAAAAAAATAAAAATAAAAAATAAAAAAACAAAATGAAGACAACTCAGCCAAGTAATGCTTTAACTACAACATCCATCCATCCATCCATCCATCCATCCATCCATCCATCCATCCATCCATCCATCCATCCATCCATCCATCCATCCATCCATCCATCCATCCATCCATCCATCCATCCATCCATCCATCCATCCATCCATCCATCCATCCATCCATCCATCCATCCATCCATCCATCCATCCATCCATCCATCCATCCATCCATCCATCCATCCATCCATCCATCCATCCATCCATCCATCCATCCATCCATCCATCCATCCATCCATCCATCCATCCATCCATCCATCCATCCATCCATCCATCCATCCATCCATCCATCCATCCATCCATCCATCCATCCATCCATCCATCCATCCATCCATCCATCCATCCATCCATCCATCCATCCATCCATCCATCCATCCATCCATCCATCCATCCATCCATCCATCCATCCATCCATCCATCCATCCATCCATCCATCCATCCATCCATCCATCCATCCATCCATCCATCCATCCATCCATCCATCCATCCATCCATCCATCCATCCATCCATCCATCCATCCATCCATCCATCCATCCATCCATCCATCCATCCATCCATCCATCCATCCATCCATCCATCCATCCATCCATCCATCCATCCATCCATCCATCCATCCATCCATCCATCCATCCATCCATCCATCCATCCATCCATCCATCCATCCATCCATCCATCCATCCATCCATCCATCCATCCATCCATCCATCCATCCATCCATCCATCCATCCATCCATCCATCCATCCATCCATCCATCCATCCATCCATCCATCCATCCATCCATCCATCCATCCATCCATCCATCCATCCATCCATCCATCCATCCATCCATCCATCCATCCATCCATCCATCCATCCATCCATCCATCCATCCATCCATCCATCCATCCATCCATCCATCCATCCATCCATCCATCCATCCATCCATCCATCCATCCATCCATCCATCCATCCATCCATCCATCCATCCATCCATCCATCCATCCATCCATCCATCCATCCATCCATCCATCCATCCATCCATCCATCCATCCATCCATCCATCCATCCATCCATCCATCCATCCATCCATCCATCCATCCATCCATCCATCCATCCATCCATCCATCCATCCATCCATCCATCCATCCATCCATCCATCCATCCATCCATCCATCCATCCATCCATCCATCCATCCATCCATCCATCCATCCATCCATCCATCCATCCATCCATCCATCCATCCATCCATCCATCCATCCATCCATCCATCCATCCATCCATCCATCCATCCATCCATCCATCCATCCATCCATCCATCCATCCATCCATCCATCCATCCATCCATCCATCCATCCATCCATCCATCCATCCATCCAGAATAAAGTACAAGGTTTGGGGGGGGGGAGGGTCCCCATCTAAAAAACACAAAAAGAAATACATTAGACTCACCCCTAGGGGTCCCTCTTCCCCAAGTACAACTCACACAAAAATAGCTTCCAAAATACAAGTATACCCAGAAAACCAGAAAAAA